CCTGGACAGGAACAGCGTGTGCCAAGAGGTGAAGAGAGCAAAACAGCAACAATAATCAATAAGCATATTGCTCCAGGCCCCGATCTCCCTGTGGGGAGTTGTAAGAGTGAAAAGTTAATGCAAGGGGAGAGGGCAAGATAATGTGAGCGTCCCGGCTGCCTTTTCCAAGAGCTCTGCAATTACAAAGTAATTGTGAGCGTATGTGTGAATGGTTTACCCGATCAATTTAATTCCCTCTGCTCTGTGGATGAGAATCCTAAGACAGCAAGAAGTTATATGCCTTGTTGGCAGCCAGGATTAGACCTTGAGATTTTTGAATACATGCTTTGCACAGATGAGGTTGCTCTGGAGAGATCACAGTTAACACTGCACTTCCTAGCAATACAGATGAGCTGTTCTCGTCCCTGAAAACCTGTCATTATCCGCAGTTAAGCAAAGAAAAGCTAGGGAAGGAAGCTAACTGAAAGCACAGGTTAGCGAACTGAACTTTCTTTGCTTGATGATTCACAGAAATATAGATAATAGGAACGGGACCCTTCAAGGGGTCTGGACAGTAATTGAGACACTTTGGGTGGAAGAAAATGAAAAAAGTTTGGAGCAAAGAAAGAAAAGCACTCAGGACATAACCTAGCAAGATAGAAAAATGAAATATAGAAGCCTCATCAGCTCTAATTAAAGGAAATCAATATTTGAAGAGATGTCTTGCTCAGTAACAGAACAAGGGCAAAAATACTTCAGAAATGTGAGCCTCTTAGAAAATAGGAAAGCCGGTTTGCATAGGGAAGCAATCATGATGGGGAAGCGATCATGATTTCAAAGCCCTTCAAAAGACAACCACTTGGTGGATATGTTATACAGGGAGCTCAAGCACCTGTTGGGGAAGCAGATCAGACGAGCTTCTATCCCTGGTTAGAATCTATATATTTTAAGTGCATTTCCTCATCATGTGAGCATCAAGGAGCCTGCAGTCATCCCTAGGGAGCAGTTAGCTACCATTTCCCCGGATAGATTTGAAGTAACCCCTTAAAGATAGCTTGGGTTTCATCTCAGTTACCACTTACGAGAACACACACGGGAAAAGATGAAGAGCTGTACAAATGCAGTAGCGTCCTCGTTATGCACAGGCACTAGCCAGCTACTCAGGCAAGCTTGCTGGAGAACCCTTTCCAAGCTCACCTGTCCTTGTGATCCACGTGATGATCAACCATCAAGCCAATTCTAACCAGACCAGAATCCAACTAGAATACAGTCCACCCAGGCCATTCTTCTCTAGGAATGGAAAATGTGTGACGTGTGTGTCAGCACCTCTTCTCTCCCACCAGTGCCAGACATTGATCATCGATTGCTGCACTCCTTTCTACTGAGCCCAGAGGCAGCGCTTTCCATTTGTTTGTTTAACAAATATTTTCTGAGTGCCCTCTTAAGAGCTGGATAGAAAAACAATAAAATATAAACAACACTACAAGCACCACATGCTCAGCGCCAAATAAAAGATACGTAGGCAGTCAGTATGACAGCCCGACGCTCCTGAAATTCAATTTCCTGAGACCCTGACAATTAATTTTTTTAATTTCAGTGCTGTTGTAGTTAGAGCAGCGTGACTCATTTTCATGGGTCTGAGATGAATTAATTCTAAAAAGAGCCCACGAAGTACTCTAGGAAATGCAGAAGTTTCTGTATGCTGCCCATCAAGAAAGTGAGTTGAGTATGTTTGAAACTGCTAGGTTCTCCTCCCTCAAGTACCTCTCTGATCTAAGAGAAAAATCCAGATTGGAGTGGATCTGATTGCCATCTTGGGTTAAGTACACTGGATGCTGTTTCAGCATCAAATTATTCAATCAGAAACACTTTGAAAATGCTGGAGAGTTGGGTTAGTCAGAGTTTTCCCACCTGAATACAATGTGTGTAATACTGCAGGTCTTTCCCCAAGTTTCTGGTGTTGGAGGCATTATTTGTGGAGCCTGTGGAAAATGGCTTCCTTGATGGATGGAGACGGACAGCCGGCCAGGCGGACAGGAGTGCTGGCACTCATTAACTTTCCCTATCAAGAGCTCACCTGGAAGAGTTTGCATAGGCCTTTGATGAGGCTGGGTGGGAGGAGGGCGGAAAGAATCTTCTCAGTGGAGGATAACTCCTCGGGAGGAGTGGAGGAAGCCCGGATTCGTACTCTTCAGGGATTTCAGGCCACAGCCCTTAAGATCGCAACCCAACGAGATGATTCAGAGTAAAGAGATCTGACAAGCGGTCTAGAGACAAAATAATGACAACAGGAGTAGGTCTGTTTCGGATGTGTGGGTTGGAAGCCAGCTCAGAGTCAACACAGCTCCCCTCCCATCTCATATGCCCCACATTATCATCCGTATACCCCAAGCAGATAGGGCTTATTCCTGTACGCCCCTGAGATCGCTGGATGTTCCAGTGGCTGCAGGATTTTCTCTTTCTGGCTCGCGGGACACTTCTGGAAAACTCAGGGTCCTGCAGTCTCGAGGTTTCAGAATTAGAGCATCTTGTTCAGACTTAGCTACTGAGGCTGGGACTTTGGGGCGGACTGGTGACTCTTTTCCCTCAGTGTCCACCAAGCCTTTTGATACAACAGTCCTTGGTGGATCTACAAGATGAAACTCCTGGGATCCAAGCCTGCCACAAAACTGTGCTTGGTCCCTGCGCCACTCTCGGATACACTTTATCACTGCCAATGAATCAGCCATTTGTCCAGAAGAAACATTCTGAGTTCTTTGATTACTTTCACCCCCAGTCATGGTGCCATACCTTCCGAATGTGATTTTTCTCTGAGAAGGTTTTTGTTTTTATTCCCTGCACATCTCCATGTCCAGGATTTGGCAGGAGGTCAGAGGGGTCCTTATTCCTATCTTTTAAAGGACTACTGCTTGCAGACCGCCCCCCACCTAGAGCAGCAGTTGACAATAAGAAAGCTGCCGGCTCCTGGCTTTCCCTGACGTCCTGCCGCGCCCTGCATGGAGTTTAGACGGGGTCACTTGTCATGCAGATGATAAAGGACTCCCGTGTCTAAGGCACAGGCATGGGAATTGAGCAGTGAGAATGGGTGTTCTTGCATTGAAAAGGACGCCGATGCCTGAACTTAGTGACTCAGGGAGCTTTAAATGACCACCTAGTCCGAGCGGAGCCCGTAACTTGCAAGATCAAAAGAGCCCTTGTTTCAGAATGCTTCCCCTGAAGTTTCCCACTCCCTCCTGTCTGAGTGAGGGGCGAGGCGGAGGCAGGTGCGGTGGCCAGGGACCAAGATGTGGAAATGAGGAAATTGAGCCTGGCTTGAATTTTGCAACCCATAGCATATTGTGTGCTTTGCATTGGACTGCCCCAACCTGCTGGAGGAGGCCGTTTTGAATTCTTCTGAGTTACAGTCTCTTGCCCCATTGGTTATTATCTCTTAGTTTCTGAGCTTGGCTCTGGATGAGGAAGGCAGCTGGTATGGTCCCAGGTGTGGCTAAGGAGTTTTTTTTGCTGGAAAGTCATAATAGATAGATAGGCCGGGGCGTATTGGAGTCCACAGACCCCACTCAGAATGTAGCCACAGTCTGGTGAATCCATGAGCAGCACAATGAAGTGGTCCCTGCCCTGTGCAGGAATCCCAGCACTCCGTCTTGGCAGGCTTCTGATATCTCCCCCAGGATGGAATGTGTGCTCACTCTTTCTAGAAGGTCTGCCCCCTCCAGCAGAAGGATCGGAGCTTACCTTGGTGTCTCCCACTCCAAAGAACTGTTGGAGCTTTTGCTATCTGTCTGGTTAGCCCTCGTCTGTGCCCACACCCTTCTGCGTTACCTTGTCGATTCCCTATGATTCTCTCTTGTTCCAGTCACGTCCGTGTCGCCACTTAAAGCTGATGAGTGCGGGGCAAACCGTCTTTTGTGACCCCCATGCCACCCCACATATAAATACAGTGACTTGCAGGTACTTATTTCTGAGGGACTAAAAAGATTCGTAAGTATCTGGAAAGCTCTTTGACATTCTCTGAGACAATATTCTGTGCCTTTGGGAGGCTCTATTACCGTCATTGAAAGCCCAGATATGCATTTTTCTTTTTACCTTCACTTTTCATAAAAGGTTATGCGGACGTAGATCTGACTAACAAAAAAAAAAAATCTTTCTGATGAAATCGGGATAAATAATTCCACACATCATCAAGTGGAAAGAAGGGCTTTGAACTGGTTTCCATGGAAATCTGAAGATGAAGTAAAGTAATAATTTCAAGGCAGAGCAGCTGAATTGAAGATAATGGTAAAAATAGTTTGATAAAGAAAATAGAATAAAGTAATCAAGAAGACTCCAATCAATTATTCCTTTTTGTTTACCTTCGAGTGATTAATTTGTCTGTGTTTATTAACCTGATGAGATTAAGCAGACCTTCCTAGTGATTTATTTCGTAATTGTTTCCAAGGTTTGACATAAGCTGTGGAGTTATTGAAGGTGGAGATTTAAATTCAATTACTCATGAAGCAGGTGGTGCTTTTCCTGAAAGAATATCTGAATTCACGGCCTTCCCATGTTAACATTATGAGCAAAAATTATTAATTCATCTGATAGTATCTCCCAAAGACTTTTAGAAGTCATTTGGCGTCCACATACTTCACTAAAAGTCAGCAGCTTCAGAACTGAACTTGTAATACAGACACTCCAGAGACTGAAAAGAAAGGATTTTATGTTAAAGACTAGTTATTTTTACACTTTTTTTTTCTACTGGAGCCTCCCTTGGGGCCTGGGCTATGGTGTTATCATTAATGGAATCCACCAGCTCAAGCTTTGAATGCCAAAAGGATAGCTTTCTTTGAACTTGACCAGTGGTTCCCACTCTCTTTACCTTTGAAGGGCTCACCACTGAATAAGATCATTGCTCTATTTTGACAGGAGAAAGAGAGAGAGAAAGAGACCGAGCTTGAAAGTATTTAAATGAAATGACTAATTGCTTTTTGTCTCTGTGGTCATTGCTGTATGTATTTTTTCTATTCTTTCTGTGGGTATAGTAAGGATAGACGAGGCTCTCCAAACACTAATCCAGGCGCCAACTCTCCATCATCCACAAAGGCCCGGAATGCATCTAAGAGTGGGAAGTAAGTGAAAAGTGTCCCTGTGCATTTAACATATCACCAAGACTTGTGCTGTCCTCATTTTGTCATTCATTCATACTCACTCAACAAAGATTTGTGGAATGCCTTCCGTGTGCCTCGCACTGGGCTAGTCACTGAGAAATGTAAATGAGTGAAGCATGTGTCAAGAATATTGGGTATATGAAGGATGAAAGATGCGGGAGGAGAGGGACGGGAAAGTCAGGCTAAGTGTGAAGGTCAAGGAGTTAAAGCAATGCAAGATTTGGACTATGTGTTTCAAAAATTAAAGAAAGAAGCAGCAGCACTGATTCATCATTATATGAGTTGCAAAATCCATGAAAATCTGTCTTTGACCTATATGTCAAGGTTTAGGATTGAATTGGAAAAACCTGGAAAGCCATTCCATGAATGTCCTGGTTTAAGTACATTTCCACTGTAACCATATCACTGATTTATGTGGTATATATATTCTTTTCCTAGTAACCAGCATGTACCATGTCCTACATGCAACTGTCTTTGTGGTATTGCCAAAATTTGTACTGGCTGAGTATTTGTGATGTTAGATTGGCCTCTTTGGGTTAATTCCAGAAAACAGTATTGGCTGATGCAGCCAATTGGATTCAGCAGAGCATGGCTGAAATAATGTGGTCCCATGCAGAGGACATACCTCCGATTAGGTGCTTCCCCTCCAAAGTGGCTGCAGCCCTTTGGAGAATGACTTGGGTTCTCTGTAGGCTACATCTCTCAGGGGCATAGGGCATTGTGACAGGTAGAAATACAGCCCAGAAGGAGTACCCAGCCTGCATCTCGGAGAAGATGAAAGATGCCTTCATCATGCTAAAAGCTCTAATCTAGCAATATATGTCACTACAAGAGCATGGCTTTGCAGTGAAAGGTGAATTTGCAATGGTCATATATTTTATGTATTCAGTGTTGGACCATAAATGCTGCACTTTGAATATGATCTTATATTCAGTTCCCAAAGTGAAAGATCTACTGGCTGCCTTTTTTTTTTTTTTCCTTTTCTTCTCCTCCTGAATACCATTTCAGGTTTGCATATAAAGTTGAATGTGGGCTATCTTGGAGAACATAAAAAGCGGTGGTGAAGACATAAGACCAAATCTCCAAGCATTTATAACTCATTTCAGTTATTTATCACCACACACCACAATCAAAATGCTGTATAAATTATGAAGGAAGGTAATTGATGCCCACAGTCCCAAGCAGATGAACGTTTCCAAATTAGTCCCGATTCATCGTCAGCGTGCACTCTCAGTGAGCAGATAGGACATTGGAGAATCGCTTTTAGCGCCATGCTTGCAGAAATGGCAGGCCAAGTCTGGGGCCCTTGTACGCACCTGTCTCCCTGACAGCTGCAGGTCATAGTCTCCATTTCTAGACCCTGATGTATCGCGATGGATGCTTGTGATTGCTCTTACACTTTGAAAGGGGCACTATTTGGTTTCTTTTGGCTTTGTGGGGACCTAGTCTCTTACCTTTTGAGTGAAGAATCTCAGCGTGAGTCGCAAAGGGAGCGTTGGTCGAATTTGAGTTCAGATGACACAGAGAATGCATACCTGATACCATACCCAGGTTGGGAACAGTAGGAGGCCCGCATAAATACATTCTTAAGTAGATAAATGTGATCTTCTAGCACACTTGCTGTATTTGGACACATCCCGAGCTTCTGCCACCATGATGGCCTCCCTCTTTGCACTTTCTGAGCTAGGTGCCTTTTATTGGCCGTGTACGTGACTCACGGATTGAGGTAGTTCCTTGTAATTCTTCGTTATTTTTGTTGATTATTAATGAGAACTAAAAAATTCTCCAATATCCTCTTCGTGGATATGTGCGTCGGGTCCCTTGATCCGACTTAGGTGCCATCAGTTTCAGGAGGTTTTAAAAATGATTTCTCTGCACATTTTCTCCCATCTCAGGCTGTCTGTGTTAACAGGAGCAGTAGAGAGCAGTTTCAATATGGTGAGAAAGAGAGACAGAGACAGAGATTTATTACTTGGAGGAAAATAGGGGAGTCCTGTTTCCACACTTTCTACACCAGTGTATCGCTATTAGGCTATGCCTTGTAATTCGGAGAGCGTAGTTATTCCCTCTGTACTTCCTTGGTTTGAGAGTATGAGGCGGTGTGTGCTGTGGGGAGGTAGATTTCTGCACCTTGGAGCTCTTCCCATGATGCACTGTCACAACGAGCTTTTCCCATGATGCACTGTCACAACAGGCAGCATCCGGCCTGCTCTTCTGCTGGGTTTCTCATGTTACTTGACCTAATGACAGTGTGATGTGGAACAGTTTTTATTTTGAGGCCAGAAACAGGCTGGGAGATAGAAGGCACGGCTTTTTCTTCTCTGAAAAGAAATTAGGTCTCCTGTTTTTTTTGAAGAAACAAAAAATACGGAATTCAAGCTGCCTCCGATACATATCTTGGTTATGTGAAATCATAATTAATATGTGTTGAGTGAGTGCTCTGAGCCAACCTCTGTACCAAGCACTTGACAGTTTTGTCTCATTAATCCTCAACCACCAGAAGCTTATGAAATAGGCACTATTATTATTTCTGTTTTATACATGAGGAAATTGGAGAGGATAGTATGTGACTCCATGGGGGTCTCCAGGTGGACAGTTTTGGTAAATTAATTTTTAAAATTTAATTACTTTAAGACAACTGAAATACATTGAACGTTTATTTTGTGCCATTGTGCCAAACCCTGGGGTCTCATAGACAAATACAAGATACAATATGTGCCTTCAAGGAGCTCACAGTCTCCTTGTGGAGAAGAGAGGAGACAGGATGACAAGCGGTCACAGGCTACTACTGTTGGAGCCCAAATAGTCACCCCTAACCAGTGCCAGGGTTGCGGTGGGAAAGACGTCATGTGGGGATATCAATGAAGGCTTCTGAGAAGTGACCCCTTTCATTTGCCCACTTACCCCTCAGGTAGCCAGGAGAGGTCAGAAGAGGAAAATGCAAAGTAGTCACAAAGGTAGACAGAATCCCCTAAAGTTGATAAGAACAAGTTGAAGCTATGAATTCGGTCAAAACTAAAACCACGTGGCCAATTCTGCCCTTTTGGGGGGACTTCAATGTATCAGGGGCCGACTGAGATGGAGGGAAGCATGCGGAATAGCTGAAGAAACCTATAGCTTGAAAGTTGTGTCGCTTCTGCTCGCTCTGTTTCATTGCCTGGATCTGAAGCTGGGTAGCCAGCCCTGTGTTTCAGGCAGGAACAGATGGAATGGGATATATCTGAGCAGCAGAGCCAGACTACCCTGGCAATGACTTTCAGGGAAATACATGCACTTTCTTCTATGCCAACAGTGAGCCAAATTAACAAGGCAGAAAGAAAAACTCAGCATAGAGCCATAACTCTGGTATCAGGAAGCATAGGTTTTGCAGAGGTTGACCTGTGACTAGCCAGGCCAGGCCACTCCATTTAACCACAGATTTGGTTCCCTTTGGCAACATGAATCTGTTATTCTGTTGAACACATCACGCCGGAATCAACCCATTTGCTGACACCATTGGGTTGTTCCTAGCCGGCACTTAAACTGTCAAGGTTGAGCATAGATGGCAGTGGCAAGGAGCCGTTATGAATTTTCATGTTGTATCAAAACACACTTTACAGGAGACCAACTCTTTTGCTGAACAGATAAGGACACTATGACTCAAGAAGGGTCAGCCACTTTCCTAAAGACATGCATCTACTTAGTAGCAGACTTCAGCCTAGAATCCCGGTCTTCTAACATTTGTCCCCTGCTCTTGTTACTACAATGTATGTTACAGTTCTTCCCCCAGATAGCAAGGTACTTCAGCTAATCACACCAAACGAGCCTCGGAGCCTTGTCTCAGGATGTCCAGCTGAGTGCTCTGCCCTCCATTTACCATGACACCCGTGTGGGTGGGTTCTGTCAGCCCGGTGAAAATGGAGACCTTGGGGAGAAATTCAAATCATTCCACTTTTTAAAAAAAATGTAGTGATGATGAAGGGAAATAGTGTGCACTTTTCAAACACTTTCCTTTTGCTCTAAACTAACCATTCTGGTTGTGTTTGGGCAGTCACCCATTCTCAACATTATTTTTGAGCGATCTCAAGCCTTTAACACCCCTTCCTCAAGGAAGCAATAAAGAGAACTCATAGATCTCCCTCAAATCAGCCAACCAAGGTTGAGGGTGAGTGTGTGTGTGTGTGTGTGTGTGTGTGTGTGTAATATTCAGAGGCACCAATTTAAAAATTAGATCGTAGGCAGTTGCAGACGACGATGGAAATTAATCACCCCCTCAGCCTGAAATGTTTTCCACATAGGCTCAGACTATGGAAGGACAAGAACCAAGCTCCATTTTCAAATACTAGTGAAGGCCGTGAATATTATAGGACCAGGGCAGAGAACCCCAAGCACAGTGCCCGGTAAATGCTGCCGTAAATGTTAAATTCAGTACCATAAATGTTGGCTTAAATGAGTTAAGCCAGGGATGCTAAAATGGAGAAAAAGGAGGACAGAAGGGAAATATGAGGACCAAGTCGACCTTGCTCACTTCACAAATCTGCCCGGAGCCAACCCTAGTAGCAGATGCCCCAGGAAGACGGACTCCAACCTGTCTTGGCCAAAATTGTCTCATGATGAGCAGACCTGTTTATCTATTCAGCAGTCTCTAGATGAGAGCAGTTAGGAGCACATAGCTTCATAAATAAACACACCAACACTCTCTTGGTTTTGGTTGGCAGGGGCCAAATGAAAACCTTTCCTGCTTTAAAAAGAAGTGAAGTCTTGCTTGTTCTATATGGACTCGGCATATGGTGCAGATTCAGCTGTTTACACATGCGTTCCTGGGGTCGAAGCCTGCATGCCATGATCTCATGATTATGTTCTTTCCTCTAGTTGAGAGCCATGCATCTCTTTTAAGACAGTAGTCTGTGGCTATTGCTAACACCCCCAGTTTTGTCTCTGATATGAAAGTGTGTGTGTGTGTGTGTGCGCGCGCGCGCGCA